AGGGACTGCTAATGGCTAATTGGTCAAACGTTTTTCAATAGTTTTTTTCAAAGAGGAAAAGATCTGGCAGATTTTTTTGTCTTCGGCAGGGAAATTTAAGGTGCTCAGTGACATCACAGAAGTGACGGCTTTACAATTATCACTAATCAATAGGTATATTTTGCATGTCTTTGACATGGATTATTCCTAGAAAAGCCATAGAGGATGCGTGAGATTTTCGTATGGGATACCAGCACTTAATTCGACTTGTGGGAGCTCTCTATAAGGAGTAACATCCAGTTCCAACGGCCTACCTTCTCGTGAGCGTATAGCCTGAAATGAGTTTTCTATGAAACAGGATAGCGATGTCTCCCTACACTGTTGCAAGCTGTAAGATTCATTATTTGTCTCTTTTCAAGTGGAACTTCGGAGCATACGGTAGCGATGAAAATTGGAAACAGTATTCTTTGAAAGTTCACACTTCTCTCAAGTCCCTGTACTCATCCAATCGATTTTACAATTCTAAGGCAACTTGAAAACACGGCTTTATCTAGAGGCGCATACGCGAGATCTATTTTTGTGGACTGCAAAAAATAGGATTTTTTTAGCGAGTTTGCAATAATACAACTATGAGTGCGTACATTGGGACTAACCCCTGCAGTTTACGCCGTGCCTTCAGAAATTGCTCGAGATTCTCTTAGGTGCTTTGCTGTGACTGATAGAGTTTGACGTTATGTAATACTTGAAGCTTCGTGCCTGGGTAATGCCGAAATCTGGCACCATAATATGTGCCCCGTAAGAGGCTTGTCTGCCTTATCAGGGTACCTTACTCCGGCCTCTTACATGCTAGGACTTACCTTCAATCCGCAGAAGTACGCAGCTGGCTCGAAGTCGATGTAAAGCTTATCCCCCGGGGAGTTCATTATTTGCAGAGTTCAATACTTTCGACATTTTCTTTTACCCAAAGCCTAACCTGCCATTACCTTGACTCGGGATAGATCCATTTCGATCATGTCCCTCCTTTCCTTCTCGGAACTAAGCACAGTCGCTTTCCGCGTGGTTTGAACTCTACTGTTTCTCTTATCGTATAGTGCTACGGCCTTCTCACTGCTTGTTCATATTATCACAGGTGCTGCTCTGTGATCTTGAGCGGGACTGAAGCTCCTTGCATAAGGGCTTTGACTTCTCCGTTTCTGATCGCGTTCAGCCGCAGACCTATCAGGTATCCTCTCTTCGGCTGAGTGAGGTCGCCTCTCATGATTCTTGCCTAAGGGCCAGCATTTGCTGTAGTAGAGCATCGTGAGCCTCATATTGCTATGTGTACTTGTCCTTAAGGCCTCTTAGAGTGATCTCAAAAGATACCGTCAGGCTCTCTCCATTTCCATCCACGAGTTACCACTACTGCAACAGGTTGGTTCGTCTTCGCCTCCTTCCGGAGCTGATAGTTTGCCAGCGTGCTGTATCGTTTCTGCAGATTGTTCAGAGTTCCTTCCTAGTCTATTCGACCAAGATGTCGTCAGCGATTTATTCGAGGATCCTTTGTGATAACATCCAGTATACTGGATACTCAGTCTACGACTTGTTTAGCTACGACGTGGCTTAACCCACAACCCAAGCGAGAACTCCATTGAGTACCCTGGGTTTATACTTCAAAAAAGAGAACGCACGTATGGCTTCACCTGTTAGATACCACGTAGACATTGAATCAATAATAAGAGTCTCGAGAAGGTGAGACAACTTTTAACCCATAGTTCGCCAACTCAGTTTGGAAGTCAGTCAGGGCTGCTTAATGGACTCATGATTTAAAAAGGTGAACTCACCGTGGCATCGCTTGGCATCCCAGAGTTGATATCGTGATAGGTAGTACCGCATTATGATTGTTCGATTTTGGGACTGTGTCAGTTCAGCACTATGGTTTTTACGGTAATTTTCTCGATATTCAATCCATTTGGCCGCATCTGTTCCGCCAGGCAGAGGAAATTCTAAAATCGATATGAAAATTGGGTGAAGAATGTTTGATTTATGAGTCGTATTTTGCTGAATGGTACTGTTCATGGGCCAAAACCTGGTCAGAGGAAACGTCAAATTTCTGCCATTGCCTCATATGTAAAATAAATAAATGAAAGTGAAATAATGAAATGATAAGTGAAGTAAATAAAACTTACTGTCAACGTTCCCTGTTAGGGTTGTCCAGAAGCTTTCGTCCGGTATAGAGGTGTTTCGAAGGAATCTCAGCAGGTCACGAGACTCTGAGCTCTATAAGAACAGGTGCACTGAAGGTATTACTATGGAAAAATCAACTAACTCTTGTCGTAGACCGCGTTTATGCTCAGCGAAATTGCCCAATGTAAAAGATAGCTAACGACATTAAGGCGAGTCGCCGCGCGCGCTAGCATCCTCTACCAATCCGCCTACTTTTCTTCCTCTTTTTCATTTGTTCTATCTCAAAATCCTACCTGCTGGAAAGAATGCTCAGTAAGAAGGAAAAGACTTACCTGCACTATTCGATCGACAGCTTTCCTGGGAACCGTAGCTGAGAGGGAGGATTTGAAAAGTGGAAGAGGTGCGGCCTCTATCTATGAAACAAGGCTTCAACATAAAAATTCATGTGCTGTGTTCCTTCAGAACTCACCCTTTTACTGCGTACTCTTTGTTTTTGAAATTGAGCAAACTCGGTATTTACCGTATCATTCCATGCCTTGAATATTTCAACCATTTCGTAGTTGGTTTTGAGTGGAATGTCTACTCCAGAGAGATACTGTAATAGGTCGCGTTAGGTACAATTCCAATTATCGGCTACGTTGTGGGCGTGGCTTGAGATGCGTCGCGGTCGCGCAAAGACCTATTTTACATCAGCCTAACGCACGTTGCTATTAATCAACGTTTATCTTGCAATATTTTCATATTACAATTTGAAAAGTTGAGTGAAATAAGTCCTTCAAACAGAGTAAATAGTTTTAAAATGTAAATATTACCTGAAAATACTTCCATGGTGTCTGACTATTTGAGAGAAGTTCAAGGCAAGCGTATGTTGAGTTGATGATCTCGAATGATCCCCAGTCAATACGTGGTCGATGCTGAATAATTTATTCAATTAGTAATGCATTACAAGGATTTGACACGAGAAAATGAATAGAAAAATATAATTTAGACACATTATATGAATTATTTTAATATTATATATTTTATTATTATTTCATAATTGTTGAGTTGATGATCTCGAATGATCCCCAGTCAATACGTGGTCGATGCTGAATAATTTATCTAATTAGTAATACATTACAAGGATTTGACACGAGAAAATGAATAGAAAAATATAATTTAGACACACTATATGAATTATTTTAATATTATATATTTTATTATTATTTCATAATTTTATTTTGATATTATATAAATGAATAATTTGTTTCTAGTTCACTTTACGGACATTTACAACGTGTCCATCAGTGACGCGTGCGGCTTTGCAGCGGTTGCATCAAGTAGAAGCGACGAAATTGCGATTGAGAAGGGCAGTGGATATTCATCGAGGAACAAAATGACATAAAAACTGCGCTCAAGTCGAGGTAAGCGAATTTTCTATGTGATGTGTATCTATGAGCTACCGCTACGCGACCGCCCACGGTTACGACCTGCAGGTAGCGTAGATGTTGCCGGAGTGAGTTGTTTTTTGTTTGTTTTTTTTGTAGTGCATGCATGTTTGAAAGGTGATTAATGACTTTCTGCAAAAACTTACCAGTACATGAACATTGTCAAAGCATGAGTCGACTTCATCCATAAGAAGTTTGAACATTGAATCAGCTCCTCCGCTAACGGCTATACAATACTCATTCTGAGGTCGATAGAACGAGCTGAGCATAAAAAGGATCTGAAATAAAATCCATTCACGAATTCCTTTTATCAACTAATTTATTTTCTTAATTTGACTATTTGTGGAGCTGAGATAAGGATCCGTTGTGGATATTACATTCAGAAAGGGTGTCCGTAAATTTGCAAAAGTTCCGATCAGGATGAGATTCGAACTCACGCGGGGAAACCCCAATGGATTAGCAGTCCATCGCCTTAACCACTCGGCCACCTGATCATGGCATGATTCAGGAGTTCTTGTGCTTTCATAGAACTTTCCATTGGACACTGTATTTGTAGTACTCCTGTTAAGTGTACGAGTAACCCTGAGTGTACGCTAGGGGTAGGTAGAGAATGACCAGCCAATCGTTAGGCCATTACGAGGTAGTGCATATTCAAGGCTAGAAGTCAAAGTCTCATTTCAAGGACTGCAGAGTTGGGTTCGGAGCCCTCCCCGCCTTTCCCAAACCCGAGATTTATAAGTGCCTGCTGGTTGTTCGAATTTGTGAGCATCACTTCAGAAAGGCACTGATAACAGAAATTCAATTTGGTGACACAGGACGCGACGGCTTTCTCGAGAGTTTTTACCGGAGCCCTTATGGAGAAGATTTTTTGCAAAAGAGGCTACCAAGGAAATCAGGACCAGACTCCATCAGAACAGTATTGCTTCATCAACTCACCTGGACTAGATTTTTGTAGACGATCAAGCCATATGCCAAAGGGTAGTCCCGTTCTTCTTGTGATACGGGCTTCCGATCGAATCCAAATAGACTACGAATTGCAAAACACCTAAAATATTCTAGGCTCAGGTGATGGACGATAATTTCCTATGGAAGTTATTACATGTGGTTCTTGCCCGTACAGGGCTTATCGCTTTCGTCAGGTGTATTGGTAGGGTCCCAGCAGATATGGATGTCCCCAGTTATTCCTAGGCTGGACTCGCCCCTGTCTGGGACTGGAGATTTGTCGTTTGAATGTATACGCTATTTTTCGTGAAATAGTACTGCTTTTACTGAAGCACTGTGCAGCCCGTACTGGACCCAATACCCCACCTTATATTTCAGTCCCCTTTTCGCTTCCCATATGTTCATACACTAGATTTGTTCCATGCATTCATATGTCGTTTTCGATCCCAGTAATTTAATATCATCCCATCACGAAATGGTTCTCAAAAAACGGTGGCTTCCTGGAGTGACTTATTACCTAAATGGGAATGTCTGCGTCAAGCAAAATTACTCCATTTGTACTTTCCGACGGGTCGTTAACTTTGAGATTAACGTGATTTGATTGTCAAGACTTCTAGACACTTCTGTTGCTTATATAGCTCTGCAAACGCATCATTTGCTTTACTAATGAATTTTCTTTATTTGTTCAACTCAACTTCAACTGATTCATAAACATGACCATTGGTATCCATGTGAAACTTAGGCGCGCGTAAGCGGCGCGTACGCGACGACGGCCCAGCATTCGCTTGGGACCGCTGACTTGCGCTTCGCGCAGTCCGCTCTTGTAACTCAGAATCCATTGACTAAGGTTTTGACAAGCCCTATTCCGCCCCGTACTCAGCAGGATTGCTCTACTGTTCAGCTCCATGACGTCATCCGTCTGTGCCGCGTACGCGCGCGTGCTCGCTAAATTGACCATAAACGTACCTATCATCAGCATCTAATAGAAGTTTCTCTACGGTACGCGTGTCATACTGCATAAGTTTAGAAGTTTGAACAACATTATGATTGTTTGAAAGTATCCCATCACAGTTGATTTCTGAAATTTGTTTTACTAACACCGAATAATTTGTCGTACTTTTTAGAAAAATAGTAGGACGCACCCATTCTGTCTAAAAGATCAGCATAATCCATTTGATAGTAGGGTTTGAGAAGGCGTGTTCTAAAGCATTGATAGAGGAATTGCAATATAGTACGTGTTGGGCTGAAAATGTACTCACACGTAGCTCCACAAAAGGTGTTTCATGAGGAACCAGAAGCAGCATCCATAGATCAGCAATAGAATGACTTTGTAGGCGCTGATTCTCTGATGTTGCATACGCCTCTGAAAAAGTTACCCAGGCTTAGAATGGCGGTAAGGCATTTGTTTTTGGAGTAACTGAGAGCATTTCGAGCGCTTTTCGTTTAAGACAGTGGTACGGTATCTAAAGGAGTACTGTGTAAGGGAAGGCATGGGTTATGGTAGTTCTGAAAGTCTGTACTGTGACTATAAGAAGGCTGTATATCAAAACCATGAACTATCTTGCTGCTTGACTATTTTAGCTCGAGCAACATCATGACCATAGTCCCCGGCGTCTTGAACCCCTTACATACGCGCTGCGGTCGCGACGCGGTCGAGCTGAACCGTAAGCGCTTTAGTGTGAACGCTCTTACTTTTTTCTATGTGAGATATATTATTTATAAAATCAATATAGAGTGAGATTTCAGTGCATGAAATATAAATTAGGAGTCGATATAACGTGTAATTATTAGGAATCCTTAATTTTTCTGATTCGTCATTTTTACAATTACTATTTTTTGATTGTTTTCATTTTACTTTATTTATTAATCATTTTTACTATAATAACTCTAAAACAGACAGGATTATGTAGAAAAGAACTTCGTTCACTTGATATTACCATATTCACCTATTATTTTTCTTATTTACCCTTTCAAATATATTTATAAAAAACCACTTCAAATATTGGTTTTCAGTATTGTAGCGGTATTTTTGTTATTTCAGAAATTTTCCTCACTTAACTCGTAAATTAATACAGAGACTATGTCGCACAGCCCAATTAAGCAAATCCCTAGATTCCACTTCTGCCATTGCTCGGGGAAGCCCCGCCCCTTTTACTCCGGTATTCATTACCTTCTAATCGCCCACCTGACTTTTTTAAATGACATCTCAACTATATCCGTGAAGCATTCAAGTCATTTGAAGATGACTCAGGGGCAAAGACAAGAGGCCGTAGATATAGGATCTATTCTCAATTTGGAGGAGGAGAGACAAATTGGACACTAATACGAGAGGGGAAAAACCGGACATGTTCATAGGATGTAACTGCGGCCACGATCGTGGAAAGGTCCCCCAGCTCATCTTTTAGCCGGCTGTATTCTTTTGTGATACTCTAATGCAGTGGTAGTGAAACTGGGGAACTCGCTTGCTGTCGTTTTTCCTTCGGGCAATGCGCGATAGGAAAGCAGCATTCGAAAAGCAATTTTCCGACCGTTCACAATGCTTTCATTGAAATTGTATAGATTGTCGCTATGTGTCGGAACGGCATACTGCACAGAATTGATTTCGATCATTGTCTGCAACGTGATTTTGTCGAACAAGCTGCTGAGTTGTTCAAATACATCATAAGGGGGACTAACCAGGGAAAACTGGAGCAATCTTCAACTAGAATTCTCAGTTGGGTCCGAATATACTGTTAGGATTGTTGTGTCATGGTGACTACCATGATTAGTCAACGTTAACATGATCATGAGATTAAATTTTGCCGGAACAATTGGACATCGCAGCCTTCATGAGCGGTAGAGCATCTGGGAAGAGGGTCCCAATGACCTGAATGCTTGAAAGCTGGCAGGTCATATTTAGAACAGGTGTGCAATCAATCGACTATTCATTTTCGATGGGAATCGAATGTATGGCATATACAATACAGATTATTGAAATCGCTGTCTAGATAGGGAATGTGCAAGCGGTATGGGAATGATCAATCGGCGGAAGTTCTCGAATCGTACTGGGATGAATACGTCTTGAAGTCATTGAAAACACACGTCGTTAAGGTAACTAAGACGAGTGCATGGCGTATGCCGGCGAGTGGGCAGGGCCTACTGAGCATTTNTTAATGTGAAGTGGTTTACTAGACGAACAAGTTTGAAGGTGTTTTCAAGACGGCTCTTCGCTCACTTTTGAGGTACTCCAAACGGACCTAATGACTCAAACAAGTTGGAACTATCCCCTTCAAAGAAAGCTCACTTGGGTATAGCGACACCTGAAAACAAAAGGGGCTTCTCCTGACTCCTGGGTGAACATAGTGCCTATTGAGACCTCGTACCTTGTCGTTTGTCGGCCCATCGAAAGGCAAAAACAATTGATCGCCACTCTGATGTCGATCCAAAAGCGGATCCAGCACCGTTGTCGTCATCGATGCCGATTCGTAGATGCGGTTAGTCCTGGCGAGAGACAGACTACTGCCAGCAGCTGCAGCTCGCTACGCCTATATCGACGACGGCTATTATCGACTGAACTCAGCTCAAATCGTCTGACCGGATACCATTAAGCTATTTGAAGCGATCGACGACTCATCAAACGATTTCAATAAATGCCCTTTTACAGTTAGCTATTCATTGAGAATACCTTATTTTTGATGGCCTTCATTTTTTAGCCTTAAATGCCCCAACTAGTCTGAGCCACAGCGATTATCTCTTTGCAGGGATGAAACCATCGTTTTTGGGAAGCGTACCGACAAGCTATTCGATAGTCTCCAACGCGCAGAAAGCCATACCGGCACGATTGCGAACTGTGTTCTCAGTGAGTCGGCCCTGGGACACTACCAAGACTCCGGTCGCCAACCAATGGACAGGCCAGTACTTTTGTCCTCCCAGACCAGCCTGGTACCAGTCAACCTACCCCGGAGGGAAGGAAGGCTTGGCTGGCCTGGGCGGATATCGGTCCGGCATTCGTTCCCCGGACCACCGTGCGTATAGGATAGTGCACCATTTTTCCCTATACGGCCTCCTCCCGTTGGCCACACTCGTACCATTTGTTTTTTCACAGCCATAAGGGTAAATAGTATCTTTAGGTTCCGTGAGGTTTATGATAATTATAAACTGAACTCAATTCGACACCCTCATCTCATAGACCAGTTACGTATGGCTCCCTCAAAGTACTAATGCACTATTACTCGTCTACCGTAACCTTTTCAATGATCGGTACTTTTTTCCGTGGCCGTCGGAGCTTTTAGCATTTAATGTCAACCCGAAGAGTATGGAATGAACAAAAAGTAGTCGTGTTTGAGCAGCACTGCAATCTCGTGAAGTAGAAACGATTAGAAAAACACTCAATATAGAATGCTAGGAACCGCTTCCAATTCCTCAAGTATACAGACGTTTGTCAAAAAACTTCAGTATGCAGAGCAACTTAGAGGTTACTGGGTGGGAGTCTGCCCACCCAGTAGACTTCCAGGTGCCATTGGCTTAGCATTCGAGCTGGATGGGGAAGGATAGAAAGAAGTTGAATAAAAGTCTAGCACGGAGAACTTTAACATTATCACCTCCCGGGCACACCCGGGCCCACCCCGTTGTTTCTATGAATACCTAGCTTCTGCAGTCCTGCTGCGCACCGCCTGTTGGGACAATACCGGCAACATCGCCGATGACACACACCCACCTCACCCAACCACCATGTTCCACTCGGTTTCCTACTTCATAGTATTCGTCCGAGTCAATAATGGCTCTCCTTTATGTGCCTATCTTCATTTATTTTTTCCAATGGTTTATCCGCTCCATGTTAATTCTAATCCCATATCGAGCATTATCTATTTACATCGCCGTGACATACACTGCTGCTCTAACCACTCGTTTCTAAAAGTTTCAGTGGTGGAACATTTTATAAAGCCACTTGGCTACTTGACTTTTATCTACATAGCCATCATATAAACCTATGTGTTACCTATGTGTACGCAAGGGAGGTGCCGTTCGAAGCTGTGATATACAACTGTGTGTTGAGATGGACCTATTGACGCATGCGGCTGAGTATGGCCCGAATATGTCTCAGTGACCAGAGATTCCTTCGGCTTTTTCAAAAAATTTCATACGATATGGTATATCATCATGTTGGGGATTTTCTCAATGCGAATATTGAGGTGAAAAATGGTGACGCTGCCTTCTACGGTATCCTACCCACTGTGCCAAGAACNTGTGTTGAGATGGACCTATTGACGCATGCGGCTGAGTATGGCCCGAATATGTCTCAGTGACCAGAGATTCCTTCGGCTTTTTCAAAAAATTTCATAGGATATGGTAGATCATCATGTTGGAGATTTTCTCAATGCGAATATTGAGGTGAAAAATGGTGACGCTGCCTTCTACGGTATCCTACCCACTGTGCCAAGAACCCAGCAAGAGGTGGAAATCGAATTTCAACCTCCCTAACTCAGCTGGCATTACTCGGTATGTAGTACTATTCATGCCAACTGAATGGGTTTATGGGAGAGGCAAAGTCCCTCGGTAGCCCTCCATACCCTACCTCCCTGAAACTGTTCCATAGGCGGAACGATGACAGTCGAAACCGTCAGATCGATGTTGAAAATACCGCCGTTTGCCCATGGAAATCATAATTTTATGGAAAAATCCCATGAAAATCACTCACCTCATTGACTGGTACGCCTTTGATGTACGACATATGGGAAAAGGCTAAAATTATGGGCGGAGTCGAGTAGGTATCGCCCCCCGTCTAAGGAACGGTTTTTATACGGGAGTGACAGCGGCTCGAAGAACTGGTTCTGTCATCGGTGGGATTATTATTACTATGAGTTATGAGGTTGATAATACGGGTACATCGTGCTTATCCCGTTGGATTCATTTTATCTGGGATGTACCGAAAATGTNGTTGACACATCGGTCTAAGTGGGACTTGTCATCCGTTCAATCTGCCACCGACACTCTCCGAAGGTCATTTATCTTTCGAAAGTGCAAACGTGTCGTATGCAAATGAATGCATTGACGCGTTAAAGTTCATACTACTTGCATTCCTTTTTACCCCTTTTTTGCAAAAATTTCGGTTTTCCAGACTAATAGTGGGGTTTTATTCAAGCCTCACTCTCCGCTCACATTTGGGCAAGGCTTATTTCCCGTTATCCTTCCACTGCTAGGTAGTAGGCCTAGCCGTTCAACAACCACGTTCGTGTTCCTATGATTTCAGTCCGTTTCGGTCGGACAATGCCGAAAGAACCGAAAGCTTTGTTGTCCTTTTCGGAGTTCTGATTCGGGTGTGGCCCGTCTTCATACTTTCGTCGTCCACCTTCGCCTTCTCTCAGGGATCACTAGATCGAAGTTCTACTTTTCGGTGGATCTACGGGCTGGATGGAGGTGTTTGGCAAAGACTTCTTAGAGTTTAACGAGATCAAGAACTGGGATTATGGTCGTTGCGATATTCGCCTTCATCAGACCAGGGGTTGAGAGATCGAGATTCACTCATGGCAACAAATCCTTCCATTCTGGACGAATGAATGACGTCGTAACTCCTTTAGAGGATGTAAAGTAATAAAATTCAGGTAAGCTATTCTCTTTTGGGCCTTGTAAAGTATGTGCTATTACCGCATTCAAATACTTCTGTGACTTCAGATCTAAGCGCATTCCAAGTAAATTGATCAACACCAACTATAGTTTCCATCATTCTTGAAGAACAAGTGACTTTGAGGACTGTCGTTTGCAGATTTTAAGGAATAGGCGAGGTTTTCACTCTTCTACGGATCTCATCTGAGATTACTTTGTTACTCGTGATTTGTTGGTAAAACTTCTCGGAGTGGAATTTCTCATCAGAAGCTTTTCCGCGATCTGTATGACTTCCTCTGCTGTCCTGAACTGGCCATTATGCCAGTTTTGCGAGCGATTCGGAAACTTTTTGTTCTTTCGTGGCCACTGGCAGTTGGCTGCTTCTGCAGACACAGAAAAAGCAGCTCCGGCAGCCCAGTTGTGGATATTTCTGGCTGGAATGAAGGGTTAGCATTCTATGTTGGGCATGTTCCCATGAGGTATTCCATCCTCGATTTCCCATTTAGGAATGGAGAGGTTTTCAAACGAAATTTCCTGCAACCGCAAATCGTTCCGGATATATCAGATACCAGGTATCCTATGTTGGTTCCTGCACAGTTAGACATCACTTTGGAGCTTTCCATTTAGTCGTTTTGTCACTATTTCCCCGAGTTCCTTTCCCTCCTCTCAAGCCGGGCTCAGTCTTATGTCGCGTGACCATCTTCGCGAAGTAAGAAACAAAAAGTGGCAACTACATAAGTGGGAGAACTTCTTCTTCAACACCTTCTTCCCCTCGCGCGTCAATCCCACTTCATCGCAGAATTCGCTGTTCTTGTCAATTGTCGCCACTCATCCTATCTGACGTCAGATCGGCAGAACTAACAGGATGGGAACTGGAAATGTTTATCCTTCAAAGTAGTATTTATAACGTAGAGTTGTCATTGAAAAGCTTGGTGGTATTCCAGCCGCTCTTGTGAGACAATCCGGTCCCCTGAGAGAGCTTCTTTGTTAAAACGACGATGCGATGTCGACGGAGAGACGATGTGAAATACATCGGTGATCGTACGATTTATGGTTCAACACATCTGTTTTTACCCAGTGATGGGGAGCCGAGTGTGTCTGTTTGTGGGAAACAACGGCACCCACGACTGAACCCTCGCCATCGGTTATGTTGGCCGTTGCCAAATGGACGACTGTTTGTAGCCATTTGAATAGCATGCGATTTCAAAAGGATTTTCAGTATGGTTCCCAATCGGGTAACTTTTCATGGGAGATCAAAACTGGTGGTGAAATAGTGGAGGTCGTACTTTGCCAGATTTCTTGAGTTCTCTCGGGAAAAAGGTCTCAGGGTCGGGCCCCGATGGGTGCAATTCATTCACAGATCGTAACGGGTGTGCGCCACGTATGCGTTTTTTCTTCGAGGTTCCTTCAAAGTGGTTTTTAGAGGAGATGGTCTCAATAAAGTAATGATTAACCACATGGTGCCGTTTACATAAACGCATCTGGCTTTTCTCAGCCTCACGACAGGGAATCAAACTAAAAAACTGAACGGATAGAGAAATAGCCAGCTTTTCGCCGAGTTTGACACTCAGTTATTTGAATATGAACAAAAAAGTCTTCAAAAAGAACTCAGCTGTAGTTCAATAACGAACCTTAATGAACAGAAGAAAGCGAGAGTGAAAGCAAGAGTCAAGGCAAGAAGAGTTCGTCGTTTGCGTCTCTGACGGATGTGGGATCGTTTCTATTTGAGGGAAATGGAGATGTATTGGTGGGGTTGCGATCAGTGNCAGTGTGTCTGCCTACTGTATAATTTATGGTAATTTACAGAGGGCAGAAACAGTTGTTGTTGCGAATGCGAATGGATGAATGGGTTCGATTTGGATTTACGCGAAAACCGATTCAAATCGATAAAATTATATTTATAATTATATTCACTTTCCAAGAT